ATCATCACCTTCCTTGTAGGGTTATTGGTTATAATTCTAATATTAGAACCCACGAATCAATAATATATACAACTCATTGTAAATTAATTTAATAATGTCTTTATATCAATTTTATTTATTAAAGAACACGACCAGCCTTACGATATGTTTTATAGGCAATCCATCGGTCAGGAACCATAAGGAAATATCTACAAAAATACAATAATATTAGTATAAAAAAACATTTAAATCATTGGTTCAAATATCTTTCACAACAGCCGTGTACCTGTCCATAGCTTCTCTAAACCTATTTTTATATTGACGAGGAGTAACAATGGTCGGTTCTTTTCCACCACCACCTAAAAATCCTGTCTCTTTAACCCAACTTTCAAGTTTCTTGTCCCATGTAAATGTCCGTATGAAATCTTTTTAAAATAATTACAATTGATTAAATTAAGAATAATATAATCATTGATTAAATTATTTGAATCATACCAAGTATTCCAACAACTAATTCACGGTTTTCTTCATCGATTCCGACCAAGAGAGAATAGTCCATTACGTTATGTCTCGCCAAGAATAATGTATCGTTGAACAAAGATTCATGTAAAAGTTTCTTTGCATGTTCTCGAAGATATAATGGATTTTCGTTCATAATGACTATAAAAATAAAATAATATTAACATTTAATAATAGTAAGCACTAAATTGGATTGAATATAAAATATCAAAACCCTCTTACGTTCTAATAAGTTCTCATCTAATAAAACTTCATTTTCTTTTCCGGTACTCTGTACATGGCGATTTCGCATGGATCCTTTTAGATCAAAAATCTGCAAATTTCAAATAATTATGTTCATTAAATTAGGAATAGTTCCTATCAATGCAATAATTAAATATGGAAGTTTTATCTTGAAAATCCAAGTTTGACCATATGATTTTACAATGATCCTTAAGTCATTTTCAAGGCAGAGACCCCATATGTTAGATTATTACCATCAACAATATAATATCCGAAAAATTGAGTTTATACTTACTTTTGACACTTTAGGCTC